TGTGTGTGTGTGTGTGTATTTTCCTCAAATGACTACCAAGTGCAAAATACAGTACACTTTGGTAATATGGCCAGGATCTGATGGTAAAAATTTGCATGGTAAATATGTACTTAAAATACTTACAAATAAATATTAGGTGTAAAAAGTCTTACTCTTTAGTTTGGTGTTAAGCACTTCTATTTTTTTTTAAATATTTTTTTAGTTGTACATGGACRCAGCATCTTTATTTTGTTGATTTACTTTTATGTGGTGCTGAAGATCGAACCCAGTGACTCACATGTGGGAAGGCAAGCGCTTTACCACTGAGCCATATGCCAGCCACTACGCACTACTTTTTAAAAAGGTTTTTGCTAATGTGACTGGCTCTAGGAGGGAGTAGTTTAACAGTTGTAAAATTCCAGTATGCAGATGAGATGTCATGAGACATAGCTCTCTGGTGGTAGTGRGTTAGAGTTCCTCAATCTGAACTGACTCAGGTGTAATATTTGATAACTTAGAACATATGATGCTATGCCACAAAATAAATATTCATTCTAATAATAATGATCCATATTTTTAACAGGATAATTGTGTTTAATGTAAATTATTTCCTCATCTTTCATTGGCAGGTGGTAACGTCCTCATCTTGGCTATTTGGGGAGATAAAGGAGCCCCACACATGCAGGCCTTACACTTCAGTTTTGCCTTGGGTGCCTTTCTGGCTCCAATTCTGGCTAAATTAGCAGTGGGTACCTCAGTGTCTGCTGAAAACCACACAGAGCCTGCCTTTCAGCCTCCAGCCACCAATGGGTCATCTGAAGCTGACTCAGCCCCTCTGTTTGGATTGCCTGATGACATGAATCTATTCTGGGCTTATGCTTTTGTCGGCACTTATATGTTCATAGTGTCTCTCTTCCCTTTTGCTCTGTTTTTCAAGAAAAGCTCAGGGCAGGAAAAATCAAAACCATCTGCTCAGGCATGGCGAAGAGCTAAATATCACAAGACCCTTCTCTGCCTCCTTTTCTTGTTCTTCTTTTTTTATGTTGGAGCAGAGGTAACATATGGCTCTTATGTTTTCTCCTTTGCCACCACCTATGCTGGCATGGAAGAACGCGAAGCAGCTGGGTTGAACTCCATCTTCTGGGGGACCTTTGCAGCCTGCAGGGGCCTGGCGATATTCTTTGCTGCATGTCTACAGCCGGGCACCATGATTGTGTTGAGCAACATTGGCAGCCTGGCTTCATCTTTATTTCTGGTGTTATTTGACAAGAGTCCACTCTGTCTCTGGATTGCCACTTCAGTGTATGGGGCCTCAATGGCAACCACGTTTCCCAGTGGTGTTTCCTGGATTGAGCAGTACACGACCATAAGTGGGAAATCAGCAGCCTTTTTTGTAATTGGTGCAGCACTGGGAGAAATGGCTATTCCTGCAGTAATTGGAATTGTTGAGGGACAATACCCAGATTTGCCCATAGTTCTGTACACCTGTTTGGGGTCAGCGATATTCACTGCTGTTATATTTCCTGTGMTGTATAAATTAGCCACCTTGCCTCTGGATCGCCAGCGAAAAGCTAACAGAAAGGGTGAGGACTAAAACTCTTTGCTTTCCAACTCTGAGCTAAATGACTATGAGGAGGAGAACAAAGGGGAGAATGCAGAAAAATGGAATGAAATGGATTTTGAAGTGGTTGAAATAAATGATAAAGTAAGATATTCTTTCATAAAGACATCTGGAGATAATTCAGTGGCGCCCAGAGATGATGTCTCAACCAATCATTCTCCAACACATTGATGTTTGAATCTTCTCCAGTTAATCTAGCAATTCCCCTCTGAAGTATCTTGCCAGAAACCAGGAGAAATGAGAAAATGGACTATTTACTCACTGCCTTGGATAAACGCCACTTCTAACAAGGCCAGTCAGAGGAGAGCATTAGCAGATTTTCAGCATGCTTTGGGGATCAGTTTTTAGGTCCATTTTTAGCAAATGCTGAAAAGTTTTGAAATGTTCTCTAAAAGCCAAAATCCTATAGAAAGTACCAAGTGATATGGTATGATATGGTAGACTAAGATCTTGTTAGGGAGATTAGGTAACTTTATTGTCTCCACCTTTCAGAGAATATAGTGAAGCTATTTGTATTTGAGAACTTGGGTAGTGTTCTAATCAAGTGAACCCACAGAGGAATACAATGGATTTCCTAAGTAATTTATCAGACATCCATCTTCTTCCTGGGAAGTGGGRAGAGTAGTTTCTTTTAAAATCATCTTTGGAATCATCAGATATTTAATTAATTGTTTTATCTTATCTGTATGGTTAGACCAAAGAATGCTAATGATTCATTTGATTTTTGATTTTGAAAAAGAGAACACAGAACAGGGCCCATGAGACCTGGATTCAGGGTGTTTCTCAGCCTTCTAACTCTACACTGACACCTGGTTTATATCATGTCCTGATTTGTAATTCTTGAAATGAAAGTGAGATAATATCCAAATTAAAAAACTCATAGGTTTAGTTTGTGCAAAATTTCTGGAAGAACAAACCATGCATCATTACAAATTGGAATTAAAACAAAAATAATAAACAGCTTTAAGTATGTGGCTACTGATTATGAATTCATATGTTCAGTGCTTAATATGTTATTGAACAATTTTCTGAAAAATGCATTTTTTTTAGTGCTGCATTTTGGTTATCCTAAGACATATCTTTACCCTGTACTTTTTAACATTTCCAATCAGGTATGTGACAAAATTTAATTCACATTATTTTACTATAAACATATATAAAATATGGTTGTATTTTGTAACCAGTGTTTTAGATTCAATGATATACAGTAATGCATTCAATTAGGGAAACTGTACTATGTTTGTTTATATTTTAAAAGAAAACTTATTTTTAAATACTAATTTAATCTCTATTTTTATATACAGATGGGATTTTATATACTATATTCTAATATTAGAAACTATCTCAGAGTTACAACATTAGAAGTAGATTGTTCTCTTGAGACATTCTGCTTATCTTAGTAAGAGACTGGATCTTCCTGTTTCAAGAAATTTAGGTGTTATTCCCACTCTACATACTATAAACCAGTCTAAAAGTTGACAATAAGTCACAGTCTTTTCCAGGGCTTGGAATTCTTGTGTCACCCATCTAGAGCTCCTCCTCTCTGAGTCTGAAATACCTGGAGAATCAAAGTAATGATCATAAGGTAGCTTTGTGGCCCAGGCATGGGGGATGATGAAGGGAACTTTATATGAGTATGAAGGGAACTTCAATAAATGACAAGAATCAATAAGAGTTTTTGTATACTTTTCCCTAAGTTTCATGCTGAGTGACCTCAAATTTCTACCAGAAYGCTTTCTCTTATTTAATGTCAATAAATTTGTTTTTGAGAAACAATTGCTTTGGTTTGTCTTAAGTGAAATGCAGTACCTTTCTTAACCAGTTAGTTCACCTTATAGCTTTCATTCATGCTGAGAACACAACAACTTTGGAGAGGGCTGCTGGAGAAATTGATGGTAAAATGCCTGTTGCTCTTTTTATACAGTACTTCTCCCCTGGTTAGTGTTGGAAATTGCTTCTGTTCCACACTCTCTACTCTTCCTCAGGCTGCTGGGCCTTAGGCAGTAGCAGTTGTTTGGCTGATGAGAGGCTCATTACTTTACAGGGATTTTCCCCTCAGCTTCTACTTTTAGAGGGTAGGGGATGGGGCCATGGAGAGATGCTTGGGAATGAGAACATGGCATACATTTTGGAAATCCATATAGATAAATCACTAAGATTCCACAAACCAAAATGTGGATGTTCATAAGATCACTGGCATCATAAAATTTTGAAAATGTGTTTCCATATTGAAAGGAATCAACTTAGCACAGTTCTAAGCATTAACATTTATTATCCCGTGTCTTTGTGGTTCAAGAATTTGGGCACGACTTAACTGTGTTCCTTACATAGACTCACAGGACTGATATAACTGTTGGGTTACTACACTCTTTACTGGAGCTTGGACAGCTTTTCCAGGCACATGTTTGCTGGCAGTATACAGTTGATTGCTATTGTCAGAAATCCTGCCAACTGATTCCCTGGCTCCACTTTCTCAAACGTCCTAATTATCTGTAGGAATTGAAGAGCTTTATGCTGTGGGCAGCTTTCAACCCAGCTTGCTTTATTGAGCTACTATTGCATTATTCACATAGGGCCACTGATTCATTGACTACTCTGGGCAAGTTGTTTCCTTGTTTCTCTCTAGGCCTCAATACCCCTATTTGTAAATGGGGCCCAAGTGGAACTGAAAGCTTACCCACATGTTTCAACAAATATTGTGGAGTGAAAGATGTACAATACACTGAAAAACTTCAGACATCAAAGGAGCAAGGGCAGTGATTTTGGAAAGTTGTATGATGGTAAGACTTTTGGTTCCCAGTTTTCTTTGGTTGTGTGTGTGTGTCTGTGGGTGTGTGAATTACTGGGGACTGAATCCGAGGATGCTTTACCACTGTGTTACACTCCAAATCTATTTACTTATTTTAGTTTTGAGACAAGATCTCACTATCTTGCTAAGTTGCTGAGGCTAGCCTTGAACTTTCGATCTTCCTGCCTCGGCCTCCTGAGTGGCTAGGATTACAGGCATGCACCACCGCGCTTGGCAGTTTCCCAATTTTTCCTAGGAGATCCGGGTAGCTGGATCGAGGTTCCACCATGTAGTTCTTGGCCCACAGTTGTCAGCAATCCCGCCACTTTGTACCTTGTTCCTTAATGGCATTTTATCTCKGGATTTCTCTTCAGAGGCTGCAGCTTCAGTTTGCTCCGCCACGGGGCGCCAGTCCCCCGGCGTCAGGAAGTTCAACTAAGTGTGATGCGATGCTTGCGAGAGATCCGGTCTCCTAGCAACCAGATTAACTTCCGGTTTGAAGCGCGGTTCTGGTTGGCTGGAGGCTTCATTTCCGCCAAGTGACCCGGGGGAGCGCAGCGCGTTCTGGAGGGCAGATGCCCGCTGCGTGCCAACATCTGCACGTCCCAGGCTTCTCCCCGGGTGGGCGGAGAGAAGGCGGCACCTTGGGAGACATTCTGGCCGCGAGGGGCGGGACCGTGGCTCGCCTCCGAATCCCTGAGGCTCACCTCAGCAAGACCATTTGGAGCCTCCAAACTGGAGCTGGAACTAGAGTTCCGTGGTGTGGGGGCCGCGGCTGCCGGGCAGCGGCTCCTACAGGCCGACGTCAGGGCGAATGAACCGGAGACGGTGGCGGTCTCCCGGCCCGGCAGCCGGACCCGGGCCGTGCTGCGCTGGTTCATCACCGCGATCCTGTGTGCCGCCTTCCTGGGGCTGGTGAGAGCTGGGGGAGCGACCCTCCCTGGCTGGGCGCGAGCGACCCTCCCTGGCTGGGCGCGAGCAGGCGCCCTGCAGAACAAGTGGCCTTCACGGTTGGAATCTTGGCTTCTCCCCCTACGCTGTGTGACCTTGAACTCCTTAGTTATTCTGCTTCGGCCTCAGTTTAGTCATCTGGAAAACGGGCACCATTCCAACAGTGGTGGTGGGGTTATTATCAAGTGTGAAACTGTTTTTCCTAATGTGTTTAACAACTGCAGCAAATTTTCCTACCTCTCGTCGGTGCAGAGGTTGCCCAGATCTTTAGCTGCCCTTCGCACCCCACTCATTCAATCCTCAAATTATTACACAGAAAAGCTGATTTTCTAGGATATCCTCTTTCTAGTGTCCTGATCAGATTAAGCCAAGCGCTGAATTTTGCAGATAGGGAAATAATTCTGCAAAGAGAGGAATTATTATTATAATTATAATATTATAATGATATTATTAGTATAATTATTATTCCATGTCACACAGCCGGATAAGGCGTAGAGCCAGTAACGTCTTACTTCACTCACAGTCCTATTTATATCAAGCGTTCAGATGCTTAAATGKTTTTTCTTGGAGCAAAGCGCAAGGCTAGATGCAGTTTTGCCAACCCCCTTTTGCCAAACTTGATAGTTTTGGAAGCTGGAGAGTTGTGACCCATAGTTCTTGTTAACACATTGTCCTTTGAGGAGAGTCACTTCTGGTCACTTAGCATATCAGAGAGTCTGAGCCACAATATTCTTAGAATATTTTGATGGAAAAGGGGAGGAGAAAGAAATCACTGTGTATTGTTGGTGAGCCCTCACTGTGTGCCGGTTTTATAAGTCCTTTGAAGACATGAAGTAATTCCATTAGAACCATTGCTCAGGCTTCTTTCCTTATACCTGGTGCTTGCTGTGGGCCTGTGCAAACCCAAGTCCTTAGTCTTGGAGTATTCCTGCTTGGATAAGGGGTACATCCTGCATATACAGCAGAAAAGTGCAAATAGAATCAGTTATTCTTGAAATGTAGATAAATTAGAAAAAGTTTTTTCTTTTTTTTTCTTTGAGATGGGTTTCACTATTTTGCCCCAGGGCGACCCTGAAATGTGATCTTGATACCTTAGCTGCCCTGTAACCGGGATTAKGCCCACTCCACACACACCCACAGGCTCAAAAACTTGAAAAAGGGTCTAGTGACAATTACTCTGACAACCTGCTATAATTCTTAGTTCTGGTTAACACGTGGTCCAAGTGACATTTTATTGTTAAACTCGTCCTGTACACATGTATGTGATATCTTCTAAGAAAGTCTTAACTGTATTCCTGATGGCTTTGGGTTTTCTTTGAAGGAAAATACATGTTAGAAACATTCAAAGTGTTTATCTCCTGCACACTTTGCACATAGGTAGTTCAGAGGATGCCATAAATATTGCTGTTTTGACATTAAAAGACAGGAATATATTTTGATGTGTTGATAATTTAAATTTTTAGCAACTAAATTCTTATGTAGTATATGAAATAAYAGCATGTTGAGAATAGTTTTGTTACATCTTATTAACTATTGATGCCGAATAGTTTTTTTAAAAAAACTAAACAGAATTGCCTCAAAGAGCCCAAAGAAATGAATAATTTATTTTAAAAAATTGAGAATTGGAATAGAAGAAAACCCATGGATCTATAGCTATAATAGTATTGTTCATTTTTCTTGACTATGGGGCTTAAAGTATTCTCCATTACATTGTAATAGCCTTCACACACACAMAAAAAAACTACCACTTAGACATTGTTTTAATGATTATAAGTTTAAAAAAACCCTTTGTAATTTTTTATATTTTTATATTATAGGGAATGAGTATTGCTATACTGGGACCCACATTTCAAGATTTGGCAAGGAATGTAAACAGAAACATCAGTAGTCTTTCTCTCATTTTTGTGGGCCGTGCCTCTGGATATTTGTGTGGCTCTATGATTGGTGGAGTTCTTTTTGATTGTATGAATCATTTTTTACTTTTGGGTAAGTAAACACTGTTTTGCACTCCTGTGTTGCTGTCAAGGATTTTAGGTCATTATTTTAAACGTGAAAAATAGTAGCTGCAGAATGGTTGATAGCTGAATGGGTGGTGTTTGTGACTTCTCCACAGAAACTGGGTTTCCATGTTTTCTGCTCTGATATTGACAGAGGAAACCTGTGTTGGATCCTCTGGAAACAGATCAACCCAATGGGATGTGTGTGTCAGCAATTCTTGGACTTCCCGACTTTCACAGTAATTTAGGTACCACTTAGGGTCATGCACTGGTTGTTCAAAAGGCTGTCTCTGCTCATGAGGGTGTAAGGGCAGATTTCCTAGGACTACGGACCTCAGAATGAATGCTCCTGGAATTTGYCCAGGCTCTATGGACTCTGGATTGAAAGTGAAGGGGGGGAGGGGATGGTAAGTGAACTGAGGTAGGCTACACTTTTGTCCCTACCACCCCATGTCAGTGATGRCATGCTCTACCTTGCCTTGGAAATAGATGGCAAAGTTTTGACATCTTTTTTTTTTGATAAAGTAATGTGTTTAAATAAAATTTTAGATATAATGTGATAAAACTTCTTTGAAAGCAAGGAGAATAATTTATTGCTGATGAATAAAGAATTCCCTTTTTTTGCAATGAGACTTGAAAGAATATATTTCTTATGTTTCCTATTTCCTAGTTTGTTTATTAAGGTTTTGTTACAAAATGCTGTACTTTCTGCATTTTGTTTTTGCTTTTATAAACTGTTATTTGTTATCCAGATATATCTTTGGGTTCTTAAGTGTGAAATATGAAAATAAATAATTTTGTCCTGTCTCTTTTGCTGTAAAATCTTTGTTTTGGTATAATTTTTAGTTTGATTATTAACAGTACGTAAATTGTAACCATGTCATAGTAATTTATATTTTATCACCCATAAAGTTTATAAAATATTTAAATGGCAAAACCACTTGTAGTAGCAGCTGGTAACACTCATCTACTTATGATTACCAAACTTAAATTGACGTTACTTTTTATAATTGACTTTTAACTTTTCTTCTCAGGGGTTTCACTGTTGGCTACCACAGTTGGTCTTTTTGTTATTCCTTTTTGCAAGGCAGCAGTGTTACTGATTWTCATGATATCTGTCATTGGCGTTTCAATGGGCGTTCTGGATACAGGTTAGTGAGCCCTTAAGTGTCATCTATGGGAGTGGGGACTTTCTACTAGAAAAGTAGATCAAATGGTATTAAACTGTCACTTGCAGTGCTCTGGAAATGACATGGACTGTACTGCATGTTGTGGCACATGCCTGTAATCCCAGAGACTTAGGTGGCTGAAGCAGGAGGATCACAAGTTCAAGGCCAGCCTCAGCAACTGACTGAGACCCTTTCTCAAAATTAAAAATAAAAAGGACTGGGAATGTAGCTCAGCGGTAAAGTGTCCCTGGGTTCAGTATCTAATACTAGGAAAGAAAAAACATAAAGACATGAACTTACTGAGTGGGTCATGGGTTCACTTCATCAGATCCCCCCATCCAGCAGCTACTGTTCTCGCCAGTTAGGGCACAGATTTTTGAGCAGCCAACTATGAATTTAACTTAAAGGATTTTGTTCTGTTGGAGATACTGATTACTGTATCCAAAAGGGAAGGAGCCTCTCCTGGGCTAATACTGTGCAGGTGAGCAGATTTTATATTGAGAGAGAATTTTAACATTGTAGTTTAAGAGGAATTAATGGTTTAATAGGATAAAACAAGTGTGGAACCATTATTTGGCTGATGAAGTATAGAAGCAGCCTTCAATTTAAAATGCACATTGGTTTTTGAGTTAAGAGAAAACCCATGCTGTGTACTAGTTTGCTTGTTTTTCTTCTCTCTCTCTCTCAAAAGTTCCTGTTCTCCCATAGTAGAGCTTCTCTGTGAGTCATCATGTCCTTGAAAGTCTGCTAAGTAACATGTGATATGTGTTTACCACAAGATCCAGCTTTCTATGCCTCCCTTCCCTACTCTAAGGTTATTTATAAATTGGAGAAATGTTTTATACTTCTGGCTTAGTTTGCTTGCAAATTACAGGGTGGATTTATATGTCTGTCTGAAACTGATTAAAAAAAAGAGAGCCAAAGACTAATGCTTCTGGCCTTTCACCCTGCAGGTGTTCAGATGGTATATGAATAGATGCTAAAAGGTGTTCTCATTTCCTATAACAGGCACACCAGAGACTTGGTGTATTCAGGTTCCTGAATGTGTGTTTTGCATCTGTTTCATTAATAAATAAATGAAATTCCTCAAGTACAGAAAGCTTTGGTAATTGGCCACTCTCTGGTGGTAAAATTTTTCCAAATAAATATATAAATTTAAATTAGTTACAAATAAGTAGATGTATGAATGTACTCCCCAGTATGATGTTGGCCCTCTAAGTAGCCTTTGCTAATATGCCTGACTCTGGGTAGCAGTGATTTACCAGTTTGTAGAATTCCATATATGCAGTTGAGAGGTTATAAGTCATAGCTCTCTGGTGGGAGTAGGTTAGAGTTCCTTAGAGAATTGACTCAAGCACAATATTTGATAACTTTGTTAAAATGTTTGTGCCATGTCATGCAGATTTATCCTCTTTCTGACAGTAAAGACCTATTTTTTTAAAACCAGATAACTTGTGCTTAACATAATTGATTTCTCTATCCTTCATTGGTAGGTGGTAACGTCCTCATCTTGGCTATTTGGGGGGATGAAGGAGCCCCACACATGCAGGCCTTACACTTCAGTTTTGCCTTGGGTGCCTTTCTGGCTCCAATTCTGGCTAAATTGGCACTGGGTACCTCAGTGTCTGCTGAAAACCACACAGAGCCTGCCTTTCAGCCTCCAGCCACCAATGGATCATCTGCTGACTCAGCCCTTCTGTTTGGATTGCCTGATGACATGAATCTACTCTGGGCTTATGCTTTTATCGGCACTTACATTTTCATAGTGTGTCTCTTTCTGTTTGCTTTGTTTTTCAAGAAAAGCTCAGGGCAGGAAAAAGCAAAAGCATCTGCTCAGGCATATCGAAGAGCTGAATATCACAAGACCCTTCTCTGCCTCCTTTTCTTGTTCTTCTTTTTTTATGTTGGAGCAGAGGTAACATATGGCTCTTATGTTTTCTCCTTTGCCACCACCYATGCTGGCATGGAAGAACRYGAAGCAGCTGGGTTGAACTCCATCTTCTGGGGGACCTTTGCAGCCTKCAGGGGCCTGGCGATATTCTTTGCTGCATGTCTACAGCCGGGCACCATGATTGTGTTGAGCAACATTGGCAGCCTGGCTTCATCTTTATTTCTGGTGTTATTTGACAAGAGTCCATTCTGTCTCTGGATTGCCACTTCGGTGTATGGGGCCTCAATGGCAGCCACATTTCCCAGTGGTGTTTCCTGGATTGAGCAGTACACGACCATAAGTGGGAAATCAGCAGCCTTTTTTGTAGTTGGTGCAGCCCTGGGAGAAATGGCTATTCCTGCAGTAATTGGAATTGTTCAGGGACAATACCCAGATTTGCCCATAGTTCTGTACACCTGTTTGGGATCAGCAATATTCACTGCTGTTATATTTCCTGTGATGTATAAATTAGCCACCTTGCCTCTGGATCGCCAGCGAAAAGCTAACAGAAAGAGTGAGGACCAAAAGTCTTTGCTTTCCAACTCTGAACTGAATGACTATGAGGAGGAGAATGAAGGGGAGGATGCAGAAAAATGGAATGAAATGGATTTTGAAGTAGTAGAAATGAATGATACAATGGGACCTATTGTCATAGAACATTCTGGAAATATTTTGATGGAGCCCACAGCTGATGTCTCCACCCAGTTCCTGTCAAGTACATTAATATTTAAATCTTCCCCAGTTAATACTGGTGATTCCCCTGTGAAACACCTTGCCAGAAGTGTGGAAAAAAGGGACTAGCATTTAGAGAAGATGAATTATTTACTGACTGCCGTGAATAAATGCCACTTTTAAAGAGGGCAGAGCAGCATTACCAGATTTCAGCATGCTTTGGGGATCAAAGTTTCAAGGCCCACTTATAGCAAATGCTGAAGATTTGAAATGTTCTAATTCCCAGTGTTTCCCACAAAGTATCAATTGTGTGGTTCAGTAGGACCTTGTTTTGAGACTATTGTGTATCATAGGCTGATTAGGTAATATTTTCTGTATCTACCTTTCAGAGCACACAAACCCTTTTTTTTTTTTTTCCTTCTTGAGAAGTTGGGTAGTGTTCGACTAGAACAAAATCCGTTATGTGTGGGATGGATATTCCATTCAAGTATCAGGCATGTTCTGCCAAAGATGTTGGGCAGAGAAATTTCATGATTATCTCTGGAAACAAATAGTTGTTTTATTAATTGCTTTACCTTATCTTTATTGTTGGACCAAAGATTGTTAAAGACTCATTTGATATTTGATTTCTAGGCAGAGAACACAAAGCCAAGCCCAAGAGACCTGGGTTCAAGACAGGAGTCTGGCTTAGGGCTCTCAGTATAGGTCTTGTTTATGTTATCACTTGATCTGTGACTCCAGAAATGGAAGTGATATGAGATCCAAATTGAGAAACTCCTAGGTTTTAAAGTTTGTGTAGGATGACAGCTAGCACATTCTTCATTTCAAATGAGAATTGAAACAAAAATGGTAAATGGCTTTAAGTATGAGCTATTGTGTATGAATTCATTCCAATTTCATACACTCTATATTAAGTATGTTCTTTGGAAAATATTCTAAAGAGCACTTTTTTTTTTTTTTTTGGTACTGAAATTGAACCCAGTAGTGCTTTACCACTGAGCTATACCTGCAAACCGCACCCCTCCCCATCTTTTTAAAAATTTTGTGATAGAGTCCAAGTTGCTGAGGCTGGCCTAGAACTTGGTGATCTCCTGCATCAGCTTCTCCATTGACTGGGGTTATAAGTGTGCACCATCGCACCAGGCAGGGATACATTTTTAATGCTGCATCTCATTGATCCTAAGATATAACTTTTCCCCATAATTTAATGTCTTTTAAACTGCATATACTTATAATCAATGATCTTTTAATATTATGAGAAATCTTGTTTGACTTTTTTTACTACATGCATATATAAAATAACATCATATTTTAYAATCAGTGTCTTAGGTTCAGTGATATGCAGTAAATATAATTATGGAAATTATATTTGCAGATATTTTTTAAAGAAAACTTATTTTTATATGCTAATTTAATCTCTAGTGATGTGTAAATAGGATTTGGAGATACTATATTCTGATATTAGAAGCTATTTGAATTATTACATTAGTAGTAGAGGCATAGATGGTCTTTTGAGGCCCCTGACGTACCTCAATAACAGAGGCTGGGTCTAGGTCTTCCTGTTTCAAGGCTTTGACCCTCACTGGATTTGGGTGATAATCCCAGTATAAGTACTGTGAACCAGACTAGAARTTCAGTTTACAAGGAGGCACAGCCTTTTCCAGGGTTTGGAATTCTTGTGTCACCCACCCATCCTCTTCCTTGAGTTTGAAATACCTGGGAAACCAAAGTGAAGATGAGAAGATGGAGGGCTGGAGATGTAGCTCAGTGGTAGAGCGCTTGCCTAGCAGGCTAAAGGCCTCTGTTCAATCCCCTATACTGGGATTGGGGGGTGTCAGACAGCARGTGGCTTAGTGGTCCAGGCATCAAGGATGACTATGGCCAAACTGGTGTGTCTATCCTTCAATAAATGACAAGAATCAATAAGAGTTTTTGTATACTTTTCCCTAAGTTTTATGCTGAGTGACCTCAAATTTCTACCAGAACGCTTTCTCTTATCTAATGTCTATAAATTTGTTTTTGAGAAACAGTTGCTTTGGTTTGTCTTAAGTGAAATGCAGTACCTTTCTTAACCAGTTAGTTCACCTTACAGCTTTCATTCATGTTGAGAACAAAACAACTTTGGAGAGGGCTGCTGGAGAAATTGATGGTAAAATGCCTGTTGTTTTTTTTTTTTAAATACAGTACTTCTCCCCTGATTAGTGTTGGAAATCACTTATGTTCCACACTCTCTCTTCTCTTCCTCAGGCTGCTGGGCCTTAGGCAGTAGCAGTTGTTTGGCTGATGAGAGGCTTATTACTATAGGGATTTTCCCCTCAGCTTCTACTTTTAGAGGGTAGGAGATGAGGCCATGGGAGAGATGCATGGTAATGAGAACATGGCATACATTTTGGAAATCCATATAGATAAATCACTAAGATTCCACAAACCAAAATGTGGATGTTCATAAGACCACTGGCATTATAAAATTTTGAAAATGTGTTTCCATATTGAAAGGAATCAACTTAGCACAGTTCTAAGCATTAGCATTCATTTGAATRATCAGTTCTTAGGTGATTGTCTACTGATATACAATAACCAAGAGCCAACTTTTCTATTGCTGTCTAACAAATGACCATAAAAAACAGCAACTTAGAACAACATACACTTATTATCTCACATTTCTGTGGTTCAGCAATGTAGACATGACTTAACTTTCCTCTGCTATGGGTCTTAACAGGGCTGAGACCCATATCCCTGTTGGGTAGCATTTTCTTCTTCGTTGGAGGTTGAGTCCTCCTTCAAGGCATGGGGTTGCTTTCAGTATTTAGTTACTAGCTTGTTGACTGGGTTTCCTGTTTCCTGCTCACAGTCAGCTGGTCACCATTCTTAGGTCCTTCAAGACTCCCACAGTTCCTTGCTATGTGGCCCTCTCATAGATCCTCCCACAACATGGCAGCCTCTTCAAAGCCAACAGGAGAGTATATGCACAAGACTGTGGTTTAATGTCCAGCACCACCACAAAAAACAAAACAACAAAAAGGACAAGTGTTGCAACACCCTCCTGCAAGAAGTGTGAGATCCAAGATATTATTCCTAARATGATTTTGTTTCACATGGATTCAGTGGATAATCAGGATAGCTTTCTTATAACCAGAACTTTAGAGTCATAGCAACATGTCACTTAATCCTGCCACTTTAACATATTAATAAAAGATATTTAGAAATTCTTCATGTAGCCTCCCCTGTGTGTAAAGGAAAAAAGCAGGCTGATGATGATTGTGAGGAGGAAGATTTTGGCTCCAATTCTGAAAGACACTTTGGCTAGTTCATTTTAGCTAGGTCGAACTTGAGTTGAATATTCATATATGTATAAGTAGCTTCACGTTTAATGATTTAAAATTTTATAAATGTGAATGTTTATAACCAAGATTTTTTTTTTCTTGTCTAATCCCAGCTACTTGGGAGACTGAGGCTGGAGGATCACAAGTTTGTGTCCAACCTTGACAACTTACTCAGATCCTGTCTCAAAATATAAAATGGGCTGGGGATGTATAATAGTGGTAGCACACCCTTGGATTCAATACCCAGTCCCCCAAAATAAAATTTTTAAAAACTATTTTTTAAAATTTATTTTCCAACATTTATCTAGTGGTTAGTTCTATTTTGTCTTCTCTTGTCCTCCTCTTCTGTCCTATTGCTTTTTTTAAATTATATTTTATTTTATTTTTATTTATTTATTTATTTTTTTGCAGAATCACATCAGTTACACCTCATTGCCTTACATATTGATAAACTCATGTCTGTTGTATTCTGCTGCCTTTCCTATCCTCTACTATCCCCCCTCCCCTCCCCTCCCCTCCCCTCTTCTCTCTCTACCCCCACTACTGTAATTCATTCCTCCCCCTTGTA